ATTGGCTCCCTCTATCTCTTCTCTCCTATATTCATTCCCTGACTCAATCTTCCTGCTCCCTCATGTCCAGCTCTCCACTTCTCTACCCTCTGTCCCCTACAGACATGTTCCCAATTTGCTTGGGAGATATTGTTCCTTTCCCTTAATCCTGTGGACCATGTATATCTCTCTCTGGGTCATTTTTTTCCTAACTTTTCTGCAGGTGTGGATTATAGGCTTTCATATGTTTTCTTCCTACTCTCCTGTGTTGTTGTACTCTTAGGTACAAAATTATGTTGTAGAAAATGTACCTCTCAGAAAACCACAATTGAACCAATTTATTTGTTCATGCTCTATGCAGTTTTCTTGTTGACATTTTCTTTTTAAAATTATTTATTTTATTTTAAGATAATAATATATCATTTTTTGTTTTTCTTTTCTCCATGCAAACACTATCATATACCCCTTCTAGTCAGTTAAGAGTAAAGGCAACAATTAAACAGTATTTCCTATCATTTACCAAATTAGCTTATATTTGACTAATGAAATAACCCTATTAAAATGGGGTATAGACCCATATAGATGGCATTCCCTCCCTACATGTGGAATTGGGGTGGGGGGATGGAAGGGGAGGGTAGTAAGTGTGCATGTGAGGGGGCAGGGAGGATAAGAGGAAGGGAGGGAGGAAGAGAGAGGAAACTGGGATCGACATGTCAAATAAAAATAAATAAATAAATAAATAAATAGATCTGAGCACAACAGTACAAAAAAAAATGGGGTATAGAACTGAAGAGAGAATGATCAATAGAGGAAATTAAAATGGCTGAAAGACACTTAAGAAAGTGCTCAACATCTTTAGCTATCTGGGAAATGCAAATCAAAACAACTCTAAGATACCATCTTATTCTTTCCAGAGTGGTTAAAATTAGAAGCACCAATGACAACTTATGCTGTAGAGGATGTGGAGAAAGGGGAACACTCTTCCACTGCTGGTGGGAGTGCAAACGTGCACAGCCATTTTGGAGGAAAATGGGAATCAGTCTACCACAGGACCTGGCAATCTGACTCTTAGGCATATATCCAAATGATCCACATCCATGCAACCAAAACATCAGTTCAGCCTATGTTTATAGCAGCATTATTTGTAATAGCAAGAAACTTGAAGCAACCTAGCTGTTCCTCTACTGAAAAATGGATAAAAAAGATTTGGCACATTTAGACAATGGAATACTACTCAGAAAAAAAAAAAATGGAATTTTGAAATTTGCAGGCAAATGGATGGAACTTGAAGAAACCATCCTGTTTGAGGTAACCCAGTCACAAAAAAAGGAACATGGTATGTACTCCCTCATATATGGATTTTAGACATAGAGTAAAGGACCACCAGCTTATAATTCATATCGCCAGAGAAACTAGGATACAAGCAGGAACCAAAAAATTTCATTTAAAGTCCCTCATAGAAGGGGTCAGGAACAAAATCTCCTGGGATTTTTGGGAGTGGCAGGGAATTGAATGGAGATAGTGCTAGTAGAAAGAGAAGGGGAGGAGTGGAAAGCATGTGGGACTAGGAAGATTGAGTCCGGGGTGGAATAGATGAGAGAAAATTAAAAAGAGAGTGAGAGAGAATAAGATACCATAAAAGAGGAAGCAATTATAGGTTTGAAGAAAACAACTTACTCTTGAGAAATCTCCAGAGACCTACAAGAATGACCCCAACTAACAATCTGAGCAACAGTGGAAAGGCTACCTTCAATACCCTTTCGTAATAATGAGCTTGATAACTAAATTTATCTACCATCATAGAGCCCTCATCTAGTAGCTTATGGAAACAGAAGCAGACACCCATAACTAACACTCAAGAAAACTGGATCCAGATGAAGAGACAGAGGAGTGATAATAAAATAGGGACAGGTTCAGGTTATAGAAACCCACAGAGAGAGAGCTGACCTGAATAACAGGTATCTAATGGGCCCCCATACCCCCTGGGAAACCAACATTAGACCCACTTGGATCCCCTGAACATGGATCTCAGTTAGAAAGACTGTGCAGTTTAAGGGACCTCTGACAGTAGAACTAGGATGTATCCCTGGTGCACAAAAGGACTTTGGGAGCACATTTTCCATAGAGGGATACTTCCTTAACCAAGAGGCAAGAGGGAAGGTCTAATTCCTACTTCAAATGACTTGACTGGTTTTGTTGAACTTTTCTGGAAAGAGTTGATCCCTCTATGATGTGGGGTGGGTGTGAGGGTGGTCAGGGGCATGGGCACAATGGACAGAGGAAGAGAAGAAGGGAAAGAGGAAGGGAGAGGTAAGTAGGATCGATGTGTAAAATAAGGAAAAAAAAAAACAAAAACAAAAACATAAACAAAAAAAGTGAAGTCTCTTAAACAGATGATCATTTCCATTGAGTGATGCAGTATTGTTCTCATAGTAAATTTGCCATCCCATGGAGGGAGACTGCCTTAACCTAGAGACAGGAGAGAAGTCCTAGTCCCTACATCAAATGACTTGACAGATCTACATGACCCTATGTGGATGCTATTGCCTTACATGTGGAATTGGGGTGGGAGGATGGGAGGGGAGGGTGGTCAGGGTGCAAGTGAGGGGGCAGAGAGGGTAAGATGGAGGAAGGGAGGGAGAGGGAACTGGGATCGACATGTAAAATAATGAAATAAGATATTTTGCCATTTATGTATGAATGATACAGCTGATCATTAAATAGAGGATAATGTAAAACTAATTCCATATGTCAAAATATTTAAAACCAAAACTGTATAGAATGGTATAATAGCCTCTTGGTTTTGAAAGTTAATATGTGGAATATAAGAATTAATATGAAGCAAATACATCAAACTTTTATGGAATCAGCGTATTTTAGAACCTTTATTAAACCTGCTTGTATATATGCACACACACACACACACATACACACACACACACACACACACACACACACACACACACACACACATTTTATATATGCCCCCCCTCATTACTGGTTCAGTTAGAGAACAGAACAATTCTGAAACAGAGTGGAATTTAGAGTTGCTTAAGTATAAGTATATGATCACACATTGGATCAGTTACATGGACAAGGATGATCTCTGGACTTCCAGTCCCTGTGACCAGCTCCAGGTTAAGTGAATGGCCATGTTTCAAAGAAGAATGTAAACAGAAAACTGGACACTAGATGTCCTCCTGCTACAGGCAAAGTAGCATATTCATGCACATAAACATAATTATATACTTATGCATAACATTCATATAAAGATGCAAAAATAATTATAAAAAGTTCATGGCAGAGAATATATCTTCAGAAATCAAATTTCTTATTAATCTATTATGACAAAGGTATTCTGCACATTTATATCACATAGTATATTCAATACATTTCAAAGGAATTTAATTTGATTGTATGCAAAGTTAAGTATGTAGTGTGATGCACAAGTTAACTCTATTAGGTTTTTAATTTAGTACAAAGAAAGTCATGACATATAAAATTATTAAATCATTAGATATTTGCTTACAAGTTATATTCCCATAATTTTTGCTGTGGTTGTTTGTATATTTTGTTTTTAATGACTGGGGGAAAATTCTGTACCAAATTAAGGGTTCTAAAAGCAAGTCATTCCATTTATTTTTCCCTCATTATTTTCCATATAATTCTGGATTAAACACCTCTAAGCATATAAAATAATAAAATGTTTTGATTAGCAAATTAGCTGGGCATTGCTTTTATGAGAGTTTAGGAAAGAAAGTACATTTGGTTTAGGTCTAGAAACCAGGGACAGAAATCTTTACAAAGGATATAGACATATTTAAAGAAGAAATAGAAAATTTAAAAATTGTCCCAAAGGATAAATTAAAATCACTTCTTAGCTAGTGCATTACACAGAAATTAAATGAAAGGTTTATGAGACTCTCTTTAATTTATCTTAATGTTTATACCAGTTGTATTTTTAAAAAGTCTTATAAAGCTAAATTTTAATATATCTTAAGTATGGGATGTTTAAGATTTAGAAGAGATGAAGGAAACATTTTCTTTTCATACATTTTATTTTTATCTCATGCTTTTCAATTAGGTAAGTATACAAATGAACACATATTAATAAAATTAGTTTCTAAAGTATGTATTTGTTCAAACAGGTTTAAAAAACAAAATACTAAGGTGAAATAGAAGCAAAACAACAAATCATATAGTCACAGTTTATACTTTCATAAGTTAAAAATATATGTGGGGTTTATCACTACATAGGGACTGAGTTTTATGAAATTAAAGTTTGCTTTTAAAATTCATGAAGAGACTTGAGAAGTTTGCTTGATTTTGCACTGTGTTTTTCCTTCTCTTTAATGAATAATACAAAGTTTTTATGAATACAAAGTTTTCCTTAGATTCACAGGTGGAAATTTTATGGTAAAGAGATACAAGGCAAAAGTTAGTATTTCCACATAATTATTTGAAATCTTTTAGTGTTTATGGTAGATGTACAAATAACTATATACATCTGTTGAATTTTAATAGCAATGTTTACTGGCTTCATTTTATTTTTATTATCCAAGTCATGTGGATTTTACAAAGACAATTAAACATGCCTTATGCAATCTACTTTTTTTTAGTTGATGTGCATTCAAAGTCATTTCAACAATGTTTACAAATGCTATCCATGGTTATTTGTTTGTTTGATCTAGGGACTGATCTTATATTTTTGATATTTTTCTTCATGTATTTCTGGTGATCATACATCTTAGAAAGAACATAAATAATGTGTGTCAATGCATGACTGAACAGTTAATTTCCTTAATATCTAATTGTTAAGCTAATTGTGATTAGACTTTGTGGGAATGTGGCTTATTTTTTAATACCTTTTTATCTTGTTAGTAAGTTAATTACTATAGTTGGCATTAGAAAAATAAAGGATGGGATGATTTTTTTTTTAATGTCACCATTTTACTGAATTGAATTCATTATTGAGAAAGGCACACATCTGAATTTACTGTTGGTATATATTTTCTCCTTAGGAACATTTGTTATCAAGGTGACAGCCAATGATGCTGATGACCCTGCAACTGGCTATCATGCTCGAATCCTATACAACTTAGAAAAAGGCCAACCGTATTTTTCTGTTGAACCAACAACAGGTATTTGTGAATTTAAAAAATGCATTCCTTTATGTTTCGCAAGAGGGAAAATGTGAGCTTATATCATCTGAGTAAAAACATGTTCTACAATAGATGTCATATTTAAACATTAGATGTGTTTCAATGATACCAAGATTGGATTTTCCTTGTCTTGTCAGCATATTTATATGTGTGACATAAATTATATATAATGATTCTTATAATTCTAACAGGGTGGGGGGAAAACAAAGCAATTTAAATATATGGGGAGAAGACAATATAGGAAATTGACCAGATGTTGTTTACCAAATGGTTGATGGCATCTTAAAAGTTCCCAACTAGAGTAAACATCAGAAAACTGATGCAAAATACCATAAAGATACATTTACTTTGTTAAAACAAAGCTGTGGGCTTTGTACATTTTGCTTGGGTTAAGGTCACTTACACTTTTTAAACTTAGGCTATTTTATCATAGCAGGTTCATCTTGTATTAATCACTTGAATACCATTGAAAACAAAGAGCATCCATCTGTATCTTAATTTTTTTTCTTTGATTTTTTGTTTAAATTTGATACATGATTGTTTTCCATATCAATCCCAGTTCCCACACCAATTCTTTCTCCCTTGCCCCCCCCCCCAACAGCATCCATCCCATCTCCTTTCTGCTTCCCAGGGAGGGTGATGCCTTCCATGGGGAGTCTTCAATGTCTGTTACATCATTTGGAGCAGGGCCCAGGCTCTTCACCATGTGTCTAGGCTGGAAGTATCCTTCCATAAGGGATGAGCTACCAAATCCCATTCATATACTAGGGATAAATACTGATCCACTACCAGAGGCCCCATAGACTGTTTAGTCCTCCTAACTAACACCCAATTCAGAGTGTCTGGTTTACTAGCTATCAGACAGGAGTCCTAGAGCCCCCCCTTTGCTCAGGTCAGTAGTTTCTGTGAGTTTCTCTTGAAAGGCCCCCCAAGAGACCCCAAGAGTTTGGAGCCTGTCAGGGGGGAAGGCCCTTGCCCCCAAGAGATGAGACCAGACCACTGGATGCAAGTGCAAGAGGTTATTTATTGTTTACACAGGTACCTGATGTAAAAGGCCCCTTTTTAAATACATTTTTTTCATGGACATGGGCAGTGGCAAAGGTATACCGGCTATCAGTGTATACATTAAGCTTATCTGCTGCCATCTGGAGAGCCTGAGTCATAACAATGAGTTCAGCTCGCTGAGCAGAGGTACCTGGGGGAGTGCAGTGGCCCTTATGACCTCTGTGGCATTCATCACTGCATCCCCTGCCCATCTCTCACCATTTAGCAAGTAGCTGCTGCCATCCATGAACCAAGAGTAGTCTGCATCCTTCAAGGGCTGATCTGTCAGATCATTCCATGCATCTCTGCAAGGATCTGCTGACAGTCACTGGAGGCTGGTCCCTCAGGCAGTGGTAACAAGGTGGCTGGGTTCAGGGTTATTGTTAGGGGAGACTGTTGTATGGCCAGCCCCATGCCACCTGTTTTTGCCCAGGCCAGGGGGTATTGTTTTAACCATAAGTCCATTTTTTCCTGCTGTTCAGGAGGCTTTTTAAAAAAGTCTATATTTATTTTTTAATTGTAAAGTCAATATTTGAAGTGGAGCCCCTTGTGGGCCAGAGACTTTAGCTCCTGATCCTTCAAAATGGATCTGGGCTTTCAATTTAGTCAGTAGATCCTGACCCAGTAATGGATATGGACAGTCCGGTACATGCAAAAAGGAATGTGAGACTTTACCTGATGCGAGATGAACTTTTTTCTCCGTGGTCCATCAGTATTGTTTTCCTCCGGTGGCCCCTTGTACCCAAGCTGTTTTGGTACTCAATGGCTCCTTCGTTTCGGTGAGAACCGAATGTTGGGTTCGAGTGTCTACCAGGAAGGTGACTGGCTGCCAGCCCCTCTGACTTTTAAGGTTAGCCTGGGCTCTGGGGGAGGGGGCTCCTGGCCCCCAGTGCCCTAGTCTTCATCTAGGGCTAGAAGCTGAGTTGGTCTTTAGGGTCTGTCCCCATGCCTCTGATTTTTAGGTCTCTTAGGACCATCTTTGACCCAATGGCCTTTTTCTTTGCAGTAGGCACATTTGTCTCCATCTACCCTGGACCTCCTTTTTTTTTTTTTTCCTGACTTCCTGCACTATGATTATTTTGCGCTACAGTGGCCAGGATTTGTCTTATTTTTTTCCAGTATTTACGAATTTTTTTCTAGTTTAAAAAAAAAAAAACAAAAAAAAAACTTGTCCTTCCATTTTTTCTGTAACTTTTTAAGTCTTTTTTTTTTTTTTCCCCCTTAGGTGTTTCTCTCTTTTTAAAGATCTTTTCTGCTTCCTTTACGAGATCCTGCAGGCTATAATCTTGTAAATTATCTAGACTCTGCAACTTAGTCCTAATATCTGGAGCCTACTGCCAGATGAAAGCCATAGAAACATTGCCCTGTTGCTTGTTACTATCAGGACCTATACATTTGGTAGGCTTCCTTTAGCTTCTCCAAAAATGTAGTTGGAGTTTCCTCCGGTCCCTGGGTTATCTGTTTTACCTGAGCCAAATTCGTGGGACAGTGTCCCAGGCCAGCAGAGACCTGCTGTGAGTAACTGGCGATAAAGACGTAGGTGTTAAAGTCCCAGTAGGGACGATTGGACGATTTAGGGGAAATTTTTTCTCAATTTTATTAGGCAACCGAGTGTTTTTTTTTTTTTTTTTTTTTTTAATCATCTTCTAAGACGTTTTTCCCAGGAAGATGTGTTTTTTGTTTTGTTTTGTTTTGTTTTGTTTTTGTTTTATGTTTTTTGTTCCCCTCTTCCCCCCCCCCCCCGAGGTTAGGAGGACCTGCAAAAGCCGTATTCAATTAGGTTAGAGAGCTACAGGGTCTTTGGAGAAGGAGGGGTTGTTAGATTTTTCAATTATAAAGGTCAGACGCCTGAGAAAGACCAGTATTGAAATTGAAATTGGCCTCCTAATCCAGCAGCCTGGCACAGGGGAAAGGCTCAGCAGGTTCCTTCCATGGCTGGCTCCCTTTGACTGCAGAATCAGCTGGCTACCAGGGAGTCCGACACATTTTTTGTTTGTTTGTTTGTTTGTTTGTTTTTAACCATATTAACCGACTGATTGTGAGCGCAGCTCTATACCTCATCAATGATCTAAAATAAACTTAAGGGGGTGGTTAAAGATTGTTCCATATTTTCTTTGAAATTAAGAATCAGACAGATAAACAGAACAGACAAAACACATAGACAGCCGGCACAAAGACATGCTCGCTGCATGTTTTCGTAAAACTGAAACCAGATACTGAGTTGGAGGCACAGAGGGTTTTAAGCCCCTGGCCACTCCAAAACAATGAATCCCTGGGACTCGTTGTGGGCCCATAAAAGCCAGGCACCCCAGATCCCTGAAACATCTCCCAAGGTGGCAGGTGGCCTGAGCTCCTCAACTCCTTCTCAAGACGCCTACAGACTCGACTAGTAGATTACCGATCGCTGAGCAACAAGCAACAAGTAAAAGACTTATGAACAAGACCACAAAGAACAGAAATTCAGCGCTGGCCAGCTTACCTCCCGGTGGGTGTCAGTGTCAGTCTCCAGGGGGAAGGGTCTCCAATCTCGATGGAGATCCAATGAAAGACCCCAAGAGTTTGGAGCCTGTCAGGGGGAAGGCCCTTGCTCCCAAGAGACGAGACCGGACCACTGGATGCAAGTGCAAGAGGTTATTTATTGTGTACACACAGGTACCTATGGATGCACTAGTCTTTCGAGAGACTGAGAGAGGGTGCCTGGTTAAAGCATATGCAGTTTATATAAAGTTGGTGTAGCAAGAAGCAGGCTTACAGAATCAGAAGCATGGTTATAGGGACTTCATTGTTTCATCTAAATGTAGCAGTTGTAGTTAACCAAGGACAGTTGGTTATTCGGGTTGGGCACAAAGAATACAAAGAATTCAGTTATGACTCTCTCAGCATCCCGGATACTGTCCTGCTGACCTTGCTTTGGTCCAAGCTGAAGACCACAGATATCTGGTTGGCGTTGGATGAGAGCAGCACCTGGTTCCCTCCTGTACTTTTCTTATAACTTGACCTTGGCAAATTAACAAGAGCAATTTAAACAGGCAATAAGCATAGTGATGGTCTTTCACTCTAGCCTGGTCTTGACCCCTTTGCTCATTGATCCTCCATTTATGGAGCTGGATTTCAGGATTTAGGCTCAGTGTTTAGCTCAATTCTTTCCCTGACTCAATCTTCGTGCTCTCTTATGTCTAGCTCTCACCTCCTTTTCCTCCTAACTCCCCTCTTCCATACTCCCAATTTGCTTGGGAGATCTTGTCCCTTTCCCCTTCCCTAGTGGACCATGTATGTCTTTCTTAGGGTCCTCCTTGTTTCCTAGAATTTCTGGTGGTGTGAATTTTAGGCTTGTAATCCTTTGTTCTCTGTCTAAAATCCATAAGTATGTGAGTACAAAAATCTTTTTTGTAACTGGGTTACCTCCCTCAAGTTGGTTTCTTTATTTCTATCTATTTGCCTGTGAATTTGAGGATTCCATTGTTTGTTTGTTTTTCCCACTTAGAAGTACTCCATTTTTGTAAATGTACCAGTTTCTCCATCTAGTCTTTACTTGTTGAGCTTTTCAGTTGCTTCCAAGTACTGGCTATTACAAAAATGCAGCTATGTACATTGTTGAACAGATGTCTTTGTTGTATTAATGTGTATCTTTTGGATATATGCCTAAGAGTGGAATTACTGGAAAGACATGACAATTGAAGTATAAGAAGCTTACAGAATACCAAATAGAGTAGATCACATACATCTTTTTAAAGGAATATTTTAAAATATGTAGTTATTATTGTATTGTTGTTAAAGCCAATGTCTTAAACATTTTGGACACTCTGTTAACAGCTGTAAACATACCCATTAACTACTTAATATTTATATGACTCTACATGTCCAGTGAGTATTAATTGTTACTACATAATGCAAAGTAAACCCATTATACATCTTCCTCTTCAGAAGATATAGGC